GTAAATTCGCAATTCTACACTCTGAAACACTGGTTGCACACAATTTTGAAAAAAAGGTGTTCTTTTTTAATGAACCTAATTTTCCACCTAGATTGTTAAACAGAATTATAGATATTTTAGCTACAGTGTGTGGGGTACTGAGTGAAGGATTTTTCGTTTGATATATGAATGTATATCAAATATTCATAACATTTAATGTAATCAACATAGTACATTTTTGCAACAAATGTACATTAGTACATTTTTGTGCTCTTCAAAGTAAGAAAACTTTCCATTTATTTAAGAAATAATTTCTAATTATTTATTGTTCGTGTGATGAATGCGATTGCGGTAAGAACGAGGCAGCTGATTTTCAACGTTTTGGCCATTAACATTTGAAGTAATACATTTTATTTTTCAAGTGAATTCAGAATTATACTTTGTTCTACATCACAATTATATTAATATTGTTTTATAAATATATTATCATTCACATAAAATAACACCATTTACTTTGTTTTAAGAGTTCATAATGCCATTTACATAACAAAAATCATCATCTCTCTATTAATTAATGATTACACAGAGTTCATTCAATTCGCAGGGTTAATTGTGGGAAATTATTGCAAGTGCTTAAGAGATCCAAGTCAAATATTATTTAATAGGGCACATACGGTTAAATGTTCGTACGTTATTGAATAGTTAATTAACAGCCCAAAATTGTTTGCCGATTAATGTTTGTCATCTGTTGATATTCTGTTAGTTTCGCGTTTACAAGACCACTTACTTTCTGACTCCTATGACTCCTTCTGACTCCTCCTTCTGAAATTTAACACACTTAACAAAGCTAGAAACCATTTTGAAAAATTGTGTCTGAAAAATTAATTAATCTTTAATTATTATTTCGAATGTATGAAATGTGTAAAGATGAATTAATGACCACTTTCATTTATTCAGTTAAAAGGTATGAATAATTTATACTATTAAAATTAATATTGTAAATATTTTTTTGATTTCTAATTTTTGCGTATTTGGCACATATTTCAAATGTGAAATATGTTACAAATATTTGATTATTTATTTATTTTTTATTTATCAAAAGAATTTGAAAAATTAGTTTTGTGGTCACAGAATGTGTATGCATTTATTTGTTAATGAATACTTGACTGATGACTTAAATGATGATTAAATGATCTGCTCATAATTTCATTTTTAGATGAGAAAGAAAAAGGAATGCGTTCCATCTACGTTGTTCTTTTTCTAGTCAACATTTCACAAAACTACGCCAAGGAATCGATGTTCTGCTGAAATTCATTTCCGACGCTGCCTTTCGGCGCCGCTGCGAGGAAATCCGATGCACTCTAATCTGTGGTTGCTCTCTTTTTCAAATGCATCTTTGAGCGCTCGCAAGGAGAATTCGCGGCAGAGTAAAAACTCATTGCGGTTAGTTGTTGATTCATGCTGAATTACCGACTGGACTTTCACAACAAACAAATGTTCAGATTAGAATATTATTTAATTTATAAATATTACTTCGGTTGAAAATGTTTTTTTTTTTTAATTTGTGAGTAGTCTCAAAAAACACGACGTTTTTGTGCCCAGCAGAATATGTCAATGTGAGACAAGCAATGTAAAAATGGATCTACAAAATTACAATCATTTAATCCATTTGATTTTTCATCATACAATTTGCCTCTAAGTAATATTTGTATTAATCGTTTCGGAAATATCTTACATGTAATTTAAAAAAATATATTTCATGAAGATATACAAATTCTGTGATAAGACGGCAAAATGATATGTCACTTTTTGATGACAAAAATTACATAAGTCACTCTTGTTTGTTAATGTTTAGAAGTGGCAAAAGATGCATTTCTCTTGCATTTTACGAAAAACAATGGTAGCAAATTGCAATAAGACTAAAGCCATAGACTAATTTTTCATGACATTTTGATGCTTTAATTTGCTGTCATGAAAAATTTTAAAAAAGTGGCTTGTAACTTTCTTTTCATCTTAGCACAGAATTAAAGCAGTTAAAATTGAATTGTTTAATGTTTGCATTAGACATATCCTCCATTTTTTAATGTCAGCTAAATAGTATTATTTACTAATGGACTCGGCAGTGCTCCGCTATTGCAATGTATTACTCCTCTCATACTACTGGTCACGTGATTGTAAATCACATTTTATGCTACGCTCTGCAAGACTTTTAATAGATGCAAGACTTTCGCGTGAGTATGGGTTTGTTATGTCCTGGTTTGGACATGGTTGTCAAGTATCCTATTGTTAAAACGTTCTTCCTCATGTTTGGGCATGCACGCGCTATTCCTCTCAAAGAAATTGACTTACTTGTTTTTTACTTGACTCGTAATAATTGCGGTCAATACTTCGCAATCACAGGGAAAGAATATGCAGTAGAAACGCGCTTAATACTTTAGGGTGCAGCGGGTCGCGTAGAGCTTCTGTCGCGCAGTACTTGAGTCAGCATAAACGCATGAAACATAATCAACGCGCGTGTATGCGACAGTCGTACGCACATTCCCAATGTACTACGCCTATATTCTTCGCGCAAGTGTGAGCAACAACACAAAATCCACATAAGCAGACAGCGTATTCGAAAAAACAAACATTGATTTTCGTATATTAGATGTCGTAACTAATTGTCTTTGTTAATTATTCAAGTTCCATTAATTCTGATTTCAAAAACCAATCTAAGAATATTATTAAAGTTGCTTATTTATTTATTCATTCTTTTATTTTCTGTAAAAGGCTGACGCTATTACCTTTATTAACTAATAAAATCATGAAAAACCTATACTTTAACGAATTAGGAATAGAAAATCAATTATTATCTAATGGTAAGAAATTAGCTAAACATTGCTTTTATTTCCCAGATTTAAATGGTCTTTCGATGGAAATGCTCTAATTGATTTTCTAATTGCTTAATTGCCTTATTAAGTAAGTAGAAAAGAGAAAAAATGTAACCTTGCGACGAAAATCAGCAATATTTCGACAAAAAACACTTATTTTCTGGTCTGGTAACAAAAACGTGGATATATCTTATTTCCCTAAGAAGGTGTTTCATTCCTCTAACACGTCGTTTAGTCAGAAACCATGTTTTGTGGGTCCATGATTTCGAAAAATTGATTGACGGAAAACGTTTGTCAACGGTAGCGCCTAAACCATTTAGCCGATTTTCTCCAAAATTGATATTTATCAATCGATTTAAATTAACTGGAAGACCTCGAGCGTTAAAACGAATATTATTATTTTGAGAGTAGTTTACAAACCTAATTATTTTTTTCAAAATGTCTCCCAATTTTTCGAGTAAACTTCGTCCTGAGATAGCGTAACAGACGCTTAAGGGAATGGTTTAGGTCTCATTTGCTTTGAATTTTCAAAACTTGCAAAAGTTCACATGTTTTTTCGATAAATTCTTGGCTGTCCGGATTCCGGCTATTCCGGATAGCCAAGAATTTATGGATTCGAGCCGCGGAAGCTTACGTGTGCACATATTTTTCGGCATCTTCCTACAAATATAAAATTGATGATGACGATATGAAATCTGTTCTTCAAAGACAGGTCTTGAAATGAGTACTTTTCGTGTAATTTTGCATGAAATAGTCAATTTAAACAATGCTTTTCTCTAAAATGGCTCAAATTTTTTCTTTAAATTTTCTTCTCGTGCGTATCAAAAGACGATAAAAATGTTGTGCTGGCCCCATTTATGACTAGCTCACTGTATTTTCTAAAATTGCAAAAAATAGCATTAATAGTACAATATTAAAGATAAATATTTTAGCCTTATCTGTTATAAAAAACATATTTAAAATAATTTTTCAAGATGACGTTCACGTTTTCAAAGATCATGTTTCCCCATCTTTTGAAAAAAAAAACACCCAGTTTTGTGTAGTTTGTGCTTGAAGTTAATGCTTAAAAAACAACATTGAAAAATGGCTCCTATCTTTTTCCATGAATGAAAAAAACACTTACTAATCAATAGCGCAGTTATCCATTTTGTTGAAATGTCTGTTTTTTTGAAAATTTCTAGCCATTACAAATAAGTCAAAACTGAATGTGCCGTTCTGGCACCACTAGTTTTGTATGATACATAATACGTCGATCATGATGATTTAATATTATTTGATATTCTAAATAAACTTCCGTTTATAGTGAGACCCAGAAAGTTTGACAATGTCATGAAAAGAAGCAGGGAGCAGTTGATTTTACATAAAGCCATTGCGTTTTATAGATATAAAGTGTTTTGACATAGTTTGTCGTATTTTTTATTGCTTCCTATTCTAAATTTAAGATATTCAAATTGTCAGCCAAACATTGTAGAAAATGGTGAATTATATATGTTTTAGCAATGACGTCTTTATCCCCTTTTCGCATCATAATCTCCAACTATATTGGTTTTACATTCAATATTTTTGCTAGGATTTGTTACTTTGGAAACATGATAATTCATTATACTGTTCTATTAAAGACCATTTCAATAGCATCTTGATAATTGGCTTTGTTCTCAAGAAATAAAGATTGTCAATCATCTTTATGAATACATCAAAACTAGGTAGGAAAGGTAGTATTTACGTAGTAACTCTCCGTATCAATAAAAAGAGTGTGTTGGCAGAAAATTTCGTATAATTTTGTTAAAGACGAAACCATACTAAGTTGACATTGTTGTGATTACTGTATTTTTTAAATAGTATTATTGAACTGTATTTTTTGAACTGTTTTATTATAGTGTAATTATTTGGACACATTTATCATTATGTTTAAAAAGTATGTTAATTATCGTATTCCCATGAATGTTTTGAAGACTACGCTGAATAGGCACTTAAAGTTGTAAGTGGTTCACTTCAATATTTTTAAATTTCTTGTATACTTGAAGTCGTAACGTTGCTAACTTATTGAGCTACATGTTTTGCAATGGCATTGTGAAGAGCGCACCATCTTGTTGAATACAGCTGCCTCCTCTTATGGCGCTCGCCCCTAGCCACTCGCGCGGGGTCACTCACCCAGCAGGTACCACTCGCCGTTGGTGATGAAGTTGGTGAGGTCTCCGCCCCCTTCGGAGTTGAGCACGAGGTCGAGCTGCCAACACAGGGGCGGTGAGCGCAGGCGGCGGAGCGGGCGCCGACATGCTCATGCGTCGTTCCCCTGCCACCTCGGCCCCTTGCGACCCCCCCCCCCCACGCCCATGCTACGCTACTTCTACACTACACTACACTACTCCCACGCTACGGGACACTTATTTCGATTCAGGGCTTGGTGGGGAGGGGGAGGCTAATCTACGCACAACAGCAACAAATAAAGAAAACAACGGGTGGACATTCAGCTCTAGCTACTGGCTAGCTACTAGTGGAGCTCGGTGATACAAGTCAGACCAGGGCCGGGCGGGCGTCCGCCCCTGCCGACGCCGGCAGCCTCGCTCGCTCGCTGGGGAGGCGGAGATTTACGAGGGGCTCGGCCGCCGTGCTCCCCTGCGCGACGGGCTGGGCCCAGGGCGGGGGCAGATGGTGCCTCTCGACGACGCGATTGGTCAGGGACGCGGGGCAGGCAAGGCGGAAGACGGAAGGCGGTTGCAAAGAGGTGTTAATAGAATTTGCTCTAAGAGTTTGCAAGGAAGAGAGTCGGGCGCATGAAAAGGGATAAAGATCCGTATTTATAGAAACGACAAGAATCGTTTCAAAGTACTGTGTCACAAGTTGCAATAATAATACAGAAAAAATGCACATTTATGGGAAAGAAGAAAAGTTGAGGTTTGCATTGAAAATTAAACATCCAATGACGCGGTGAAGTTTGTAGAAGGGTATCTAGGGAAAAAAGAGATGAGAAAAGGAAATGTAATGTGTTGGGAAAGTGATAAACAGGGACATTGAATAGGACGGGGGAATCGTCAGAAATGGGAATAATTTACATCTGGGTAGGTAGCGGAGTGAAAGTGAGGCAAACGAAGATGATAAAAGAATGAAAATATAAGCAACTGCTGTGGAATTTTCCAATTAAAAAGTTAGTTGGCAATTTCAAAGGTGAAGCAGTGTCAAGAGAGTGGAAGTTGACATCAGGAGTACTGAAGCTGAAACTATCAAAAAAAACTATAGTTTTAGAGTGAATTTTATTTCAGGAAATATATTATTAAATTCGAAAATTGTCTGCTTTGTACCTTTTATCAATTGTTTTTCCCTATATTTTACGTATACAAATCAGTTTTCATTTCAATTTTTGGATAAATTCCAAGATCTACCGTTTTATTCTACACGAATGAGGATATTGGATACATGATTAATGAAAATAAGTGTAGTTCAAAATAAAGCTTCAATTAACAGTAGTTTTTTAATATTGGCCTAATTACAAATATATTCCAATTACACAGCGATTTTACTCAATTTTATTCTACAAATCTTATTTTAGTGAATAGGTAGAAGATAAATCTTGAAAGGAATTCCACTAATTGGGACGGTCACATTTGTCAACTTTATAGAGATTAAAGCGAAAGGGGCATTTCAAAGACAATTTCCATTACGATTTTGCTTTCGCAATCCATATCCATCAAAGGACTTTCCTTTGGCTAATGACGTACTTTTTGGTTTTGCAACTTTTCGTGACGCCAATGGAACATATGTCACCTTTCATCTTTTTTCATGTCTAAAAGACGTAAAAAATTATTCAGATCTGATAGAATATTATGTTTGAAAAAATCTATAATAGATAAGCTTGTAGTCTGGATTCTAGGCGATTGATTTACGATGTAGAACTAAGATGAAAAAAAGTATGCTTACAATTAAATTATTGTGCTACTGTCTTCTGAAGTCAAAAGAAAAATTGAATGTAATTCAAAATGTGAAGGAAGGAGATGGTGATTGCTCTCTGAAACCAATGAGGGACAGAGGGACAGAGTTCGGTTAAGAAGAAAACAATTATGTGATTACTCTAGAATTGTTTCTAATACTTACGTAGGACTGAACTTATATTAAAAAAATACAGGAAAGATATACAGATTAAGGTGGAATGAGTACGAGGTAAATATATACAGAATTAAAGCTCTCGATCATTCTATACACCTCTTTGCATCTTACTCTTTGGTCCTTTATTGCATTTCAAATTCAGAATGTGGGCTTTGATAACTCATGATACATAATAATATGTATTACTGTGATTTAGATTGTTTTGCAACATTCTACGAAATATGATTCATTTGACAAAACATACTTTGTAGTAACAAGAACTTGGAACAATTTATTTAGGGTCATTCGTTTTCATGGTATTGCTATTCAGACCTCTAAAATTAAAAATTAAGTTTTCTGAAACTATTAGTTGTTAATAGGAGGAACATTGATGTTCCTACCAAACAATACGTAGGTACTTTGAGGTGAGAAATTCAGGACCATGATGGTTTGGCAAAACGCACTTGCAGGTGAGGGACGTTGGCTCAGTCTGATTTGAATGCAAAGTGAAAATTTACTTTTTACTAGCGAAGGGAAGCGAGCCAGGCAAGAGCAGAGCGAGGGAGCGAGCGAGGCGGCGGCGGGGGCGGGGGCGTGGGCGGTGGCGCGCCCCCGGCCCGCGTTGTGCGCTCCATGCAAAATGCGTTGCCAGTCACGGAGTCCCCGCTGATGCGCACAGCGTGTCTCAGGCGGCGCGAGCCAGCGAGGACGGCGCGTCCCCGGCGCTGTGCTCGCGCCGCGAGCCCCCCACCTCCCTCCTGGCCACCCACGGCTCCCGGCGGACCGCGTGTGATGCACAGCGCTAAGCGCCCACTACTGTGTCCCCTCGACTCGGCCCCCGCGACTGCAGCTGCGTTGGTAGCATTGCCTCTACAGCTCTGACCTCGGAGCGCGTGCAAGCCCGGAGCAAATCAGGCTACGCTCTAAAGACTGCGATGCATTGCTCAGTATATATAGAGAGTGTATTATAATCTAGCAGTACTAAGAGGAGTAAGAAATAAAAGAAGAGTGTATATAGTAGAGTAGTAGTAGTAGAGTAGTAGTAGTAGTAAAAAGTTGCAGCAATCGACTTGTTTGCGGCCTTACCTGCTGTCGCTTGCTACACGAGCTCGTGACGCTACAATGCGAGAGGCGACGTGTCGCGGGCAAGGATAGCGGCAATGGAGCGAGCGCAGCGTGTAGGCCGGACCGCGGCGACTACCCGAATGGTGCTTGTTTGCGAGTGTTAGCCCGTGTAGAGGCCGGCGCGAAAATGTTCCTACTACCTTTTTACTTTGAGAAAAGTTTACTTTCGACAAAAGTTTATAAGGTGGTCGATATTTTTAAACGGTTTCTCTTTGAATACAAAAATACTGCTAATGAAATACAGAGTTATGTTGTTATACTACTGACCTCATGGTGATTCTGCTTATACAACTGTAATAGCATTTAGTGAATTAGTTTTTCGTATTTACGATACTTGTTTTTGAAGACATACATACCTTCATTTGTTATGCCTTCAAATATATCTTTTATAATACTTAAAAAAATATTTCCAACATTTTCATCAACGTTCGGAATCGCTCCACAAAAATGTATTTTCAGTTAGTCATGAAAGAAGTTAGGTCTTGAATTCACGGGGAATGGAAATCAGTGTGTACTTTGTACGATTTACAAGACAAAGTATTATTCTTTGCGAAAGGAAGAACATAGTTCTAAAAATGATAATTCTTTTTTTTATAAAAAAAATATTTTTGCAGTCTTATTCGTAATGCATCTAATTCTGCACTTTTGATGTAAACACGGAAAAATGTTTCTTAGTCTTGAAAAGTAATTGTCTCTCTGTCATGTTTTAATAATGTAATCTTATAAAGTTTTAATCTTAATAATTTATAGCTTAATTATTAATATCCTAACATTGCAGTAAATAAGTGGCATGAGGGTCACCATTCATTGCAAGGCAATATTGTAAAACCCCATTCGTGAATGTCATTATCATATGGTATGAATGTGTGAATGAAGCGAGTGTGAAGCTTAAGTGGTAGCGCCGGCCAGGCGTGTCCTCGGCCCCGTGTGCTCCCGCGCCCGAGGCGGGTTGCGTTGCGGCCGCCCCCCGCGCCCGCCCCCGCCCCCGCCCCTGCCAGGCGCCCCCTGCGGTTGAAGGCGCGGGAGGGGGCGTGCTGGGCGGCGCGCGGCGGCGCGGCGGCGGCGGTACAGCGTACGCTGCGCCTTCGTCTACGCAGCGTTCAGCAACGCACGCTCGCACGCACGCTGGCGCCAGCGCTGAGCGTAGCAATTGTACTTTACTGGATTGCCGTCATAGGTCCAGCATACCAACTTCATGTCACCCAATGTGGTTCATCAAATGTGTGGAATGGGAACCACCCAATGTTATCTTGCATTGTGCTCTGAAGATGGCCCGTGTTGGAACGTACAAGCAGCTACCGGTTATGCTGACCACTAACGCGTATGGTAGGTTCCCGTCGAACCCTCATCAGCGCTTGTGGATAAGTTGGGGAGGAAACGTTTGCTTTGGTTAATGTGGCAAACACAAGAAAATGCGACAGCAAGGGTGCTAAAACGACTTCATAATTATTAGAGTACCACAGGCCACAACCACATGCATGTTTTTTTTTTAGCGCTCGGTGTTTAGCAGTGACGGTTATGTTATTTTGTTTAGAGGCTTCTCTTTTTAGACCGGATTTCACTCACTCGAGACACCAAGGGTTTTGAAGAACGCGCCCAAGGGGCCGCTTATTGAGGGCACGTTACCGGGGCGCGGACGACGCGGAGGGGGCAGAGGGGCGGGAAGCGGCGTAGGGGCCGCGGCGGGGCGGGCCGCGGCGGGGCCACGACCCGCCCCGGACGTCCCGCAGGGGGAGACCCGCTTGCCGGTCGAGTGCTTCGACGCCCTGAAGGAACTTCGTTTGATGAATATTGAAACTAATATCTGCTCTTAAACCCGCGATCGATTTCCCGATTAAGAGAGCGCCCATAACCGGGTTTGCCGCAGTAAAAAAACGCCCCTCCGAACGCCGGCCGTTCCGAATGCCGGCCGGCCGGGCACGGGCGGCGGGCACCCAAGACGCGCGAATTTATCGGCTAGTCTCCAGGCATTTCGGCGCCGCCGCCCGCCCGCCCCGCCCCTCGGCCGCCGGGGAAAATTAAATGGAGATGCGGCGCGGGCGGATTGCGGGGCCGGGACCCGCTGGGCGAACCGAAAGCCGCTCTGGGCCGGTCGAGCCACGTCGTCCGGGCTTGTCGTGTCTGGCAGGGGTGCAAGCTGATTGTGCTCGGGATACAATAATAGCTCTAGTCTTTAACATTGTTTATTTATTTTAAGGAAGAGGCATTACAATAGCAGTTAACCCGATTGATTAGTCATTTTATTCATGCATAAAAGATAATATAAGATTTTATTAGCTAGCAGATATAAAAGTTAAGTAAGTTCATAGTCATGTGAATTTATGGTGCTACAGCTTTACTGGCGCTGAGGGTGGGACGGGTTTCCGAGCCGGAGATAGAAGTATGATAGAGTGCTACTTTCGCAGTAAGGGTCAGCTGTATGCTGCAAACACGTGCGTGACATGCGGTCGCAAAGTTTCGAGCGGTTATTGGCGTTTCTGGAGAATAGATGTTTTACACATTTTGGCCGTATGCGTTCTTGATTGCATTGATCAGGACAATCTACGAAACTTACTCGTTGCTATATCGCAATCAAAAATCCAAGAATATATTATTAACAATATTTTCCTGAACTTATGCGGATAATATCATGCATTCGATATTCTTTCTTGATTGTTTAATCTCAGCACAAAGAAAGAGCCATCACAGCGAAAAATCCCCCCATTTTTGAAGACACCATAACCAAACTTGATACTTTGGACACCGCGCGTTGCGTTGCCGCGGCGGATGCAGCTGATGCACTGCTCGCTGCTCTGGCTGCCCTCTCTGGACGACCGCTCCCACGCCCCACAAGCGTGCGGTGATTCTGGTGCAGCGTTTAGATATTGGTATTACATGATTCTAGTGAGTGGACTGGAGTTATATAAACAATTATACTAGGTTGTATAAATCAATGTTCTGAACGTTGTTTGAAGGCATGTCTTTTTCTTGTCCCGGGGTTTTTTCATATTTTAATCAAAGGAACTGAAATTTTTGAAACACCCTGAACGAGAAAAAAGTTCATTTGCAAAACAAAAATTTGAGAATCTGTTGATTTTGATACGACTTAGGTAAACTATGTCTTGCACATTTGGATAGAAAGAGATTAGTCCAAATTTCATTTCTCAGATGCCGCAATTTCATTAGCCTTTGCTGCACAAGTAAGTTAATTAACTTCTGTTGCACGAATTGGTTTATTGTGTTCTAATTAAGCAATTTAGTCTTACAATAAACAGGCTTCGAACAATGTTCGAATTATACATTTTCACGTTTTCAAGGAACTGGAAATATTCATTCTAATTTGGTTGGACATTACGTCTTTAAGGAAAGTTTAATGGAAAATGAAAGTAACTGAATTCAAGACATTGATGAGTATTACATTTGGATTAGTTACAAAGGTCTGACCTTTTAATTTAAATTGGGCTGAAAGTGCAACCGTTTCGTGGTATAAAAACAGCAGTGACGCCCAGCCCCGAGCGAAGGTCTGGGGCGATGGACTAGCTCTTCGCCGCATGCCTCTGGAAATTGTTTATGAGAAGTGAGAGGTTATCTGGGCGGAGTTATGGCGCCTGCTTGAGGTTCGGGGGCGCCTCCCGGCGCGGGCCTGGCCCGGCCCGACCCTCCCGGACCCGCCTGCCCCCGCGCCGCCGCGTGGGCGCGGGCCGGGGCGGTGGCCGGGGGCGGCGGCGGCGGCCCGCGCCGCGGGGGGGCGTGCGCTGCGGCCCACAACAACCGGTGCCTGCTCTGTACCTCCAGCGGACGGGCGCCCTCTTGCTCCAGGCGCCGGTCTGAACTCGCGACGGTGTGTTTTATAGGGGGAGCACATGTGGGACGGGAGGGGCGGCGCGTGTGTTGGAGGGTGGGTGGGGCAATGCAGGAGTGAGGAGGAGGAGGAGGCATTTGCCCAGGCGGGGCAGACCACCACGAGGAGACAGAGGGGCGAGGCCTTGGAGGTGACGCGGTGCGGCGGCGGCGGACAGACCTCGTTCCGTTTGGGCGGCGAGCCCGAGGGCGACGGGCTAAATGCCAAGGGGAGATGATTCGAAAAGCCCAGTGAGGGCGCATTGTCATTGGGCGTGGAGCCGCTCGGTGTGCCAGATATAATTATTAATCGGAATTGTTTCGGAAAGTGGAAATCAATAATTTTGCCTGAACTAAATTTGAAAAAGTTTGCAATAAAATTGGTAACAGTAGTTGTGGAACGCAGTTAACTCAGTTTTATATGAGCGCTCCATAATGTTCCGTAAATTGGACTTGTTTTCTTTGTTTTTACAATCTCTCCACTGGGAATGTTGTGAAATACCAAATATATAATAAATATCTAAAAAGTATTTGACTGATTTTAATATTTATAAAGATTTTTTTATCGAAAATATAAGACATGATGTATTTTATAATAAGATGTAGAAATTGTTAAGCAAACTATTTTTATTGTTTTGCAATTAAATTTGGTGAACAAATTATTCCAGCTGATGATTGCATGTCCACTTTCAAAGTCGTTATTTCTTTACAGCCGCGTGTTACTTTTTTCTTTGCCGCCCCATCACTAAGTTACGCGTCTCACCTTATCCACCCGTCTCCTCTCGAGCGCCCAGGCCCGTTGAGGATACCCCCCGTCGCGCGGCGCCCCGCACATCCAGACACCAAAACACTCACACAACACAGTAATTCACATTGCACGCGCCCCGCGCTCTGAGACTTACTTCCAATTTACGCCCAACACAAGATACCCTGTCGGGTCACCTGAGGGCCGGGGCCGCGGGTGTGCCGACTGCAGTGAGTGGACGTTTGAGGTCAGCGGGAAAAGTTACGATGATTAGTGAAAGTGGGTAAAAAGCAAGGTTGACGAAACGCTTTTGCGAAGGCAGATAGAAACAGGGCAGGGCGGGGAAGCCGCAACCTCACCGCCATCGGCCACACGCCCGTTGTTTGCGCGGCCGCATCTGGGCACGCAAGGAGCGATTCGCGCCCAAGGGCCTATGGCCCGGGATCGCGGGACACACACGCAGGCGTTTCTTAGCATCAGGAGTTTTGCTTTGAGCTCGGTGATCGTTTACAGGAGAGAGAAAAATCACTTTTTGAGGAACTCAGACAATTTACGCACAAGCAATCTTAAACCTAGGTTTAAAAGAGCGATCTAGAGCAGGGATTTGGCGCTGGCCGCCGCCCGCTGCACCCGCTCGCTCGCGCCGCCGCGCGCCCCGCGGCGGTGGGCGGCGGGCGGCGCGCGGGCGCGTGGGCGGCGGGGCGGCCGGTGTGCGGCCGCGGGGCGGTCGCTCGCGCTGCCGCGTTTAGTTCGCGCGCTTTAGGCCACGCCGTTTTGGCAGTATCGCCGGGACACAATGACACAAACACGAACACAAGCTCAGCGCCGGCGCGACGTCTCGGTTCGCGCCGCCGCTGGCCGCCGCTTCAGGTTCAGCACGCGCCTTCGCGCGACGCGTATGGTAAAATCAAGTCGCATTTGCAATTTTTATTGTTCTTGCAGGAAAATCACAAAACACGGAGCGCGGCCCCGTGGCTGCGCAAAACTTTTCGCATAATTCTATATGTATTCGAACCAGGCATGTTTAAAGGAGAGCAGGAGGAGAATAAATTCATTGGATTTCCCGTGCAACTTTTCTCGTCCAAGGCGAAATTCCGAGCGGGACGTCGTGTCCGAGAGAGTCGCAACCCCCGGCAGGCGGAGTATTTCGGGGTCGCTCCGTATGGTCCAACTCGGGCGAACGCGAGGAAATTTTCATTAAAAGGAGGTGGCGGCGGGGGGCAAGAGGCCCGCGGCGCTGAACCCTGGCGGAGCGCGGCACGGCGGCGGCGCGTGCGCTGGGTTGCCGGTGGCGGGGAGGGGCGCTGGCGTCCCGCCGCCGGCCGCGGCGGCTGCCTGAGCTGCTCCCGGGGCCGGGGGGCGAGAGATGGCGCTTGGCGGGGCGGAGGAGGGAGGCGGGCGTTACAAAGTGGCTTGGGCCTCGGGGGCCGGTCGACTCGTGGACAAGGACGACGGCTCGCGCAAAGAAACGGCGGAGACAGAGACTCAGGGCCTTCCAGAAAGCTTTCCCTAGTTGGAGGGAGGAGCAGAGAAGCAGCGAGCGTCAACAGCCCTCTATGAAGGGAAGAAGCGATGAGATGGGTGGCCCAAAGGCAATGGGAGTAAGTGAATTTAGTAATTATGTTTATCGTAAAAATTTGATAGCGGACAGGATTGATAAGCATGTAGTTGCGCAACACAGTGGCAAAAGCCAAAATTACGTTTCATGTCTTAGTATACGCAAGTGTATCTGCGAGAAAGGGTGAATTTTTAAACGTGAATGTGTGTGCGTCTGAGTACATGCGAGAAAGTGTGAGTCAACCCTAACATTACGAAGGAGAGCCTTAGACGCTCAGCGATGATTGTTTTGTACAGAATTATTTTCTTTAGGAAGCTGAAAATCATCCATATTGTGTATGATGTTCATATTCTTCAAAATACAACAAATTTATCACAAGTGTTTGTTATAATTTGAGTTATAACAACTTGTTTGATTGTGGAAGAAAAATTTAGGACTACTTACTTGAAAACTGAACATTAAGATATATTTTGGAAATTTTTGTAGTATTTGAAGTCTTAGTGTAATATAATCGAACACAACTTTGTTATGAAGATATATACACTATTAGGCAAAAAATATGTGACAGGATTTGTCAATAAATGGATACACTGGTACTAGAAATTTGATATTTTTTAATTTACAGAGCCAGGAATTGATTAATGTTTTTTGGTTAATTGAATTCATGTGTATACTTTAAGTTTTATTAATTTATCTGAATCGTCCATAAAACCAATATAAAACAAATTAAGCTATGAGTTTCGGAGCCTAGCCCTCTTGTTAATAAATGGAACTATTTGTACTTTGGTAGTGCTAGGATTACATGTTAAGTTTGGAAATGCGGTCTCTTTATGAGAAAAATGAAGACTTATTTCAATTTTACGCAATTTTTTATATGAATCTTGCGATGAATTTTCAGTTTGTGAGAACATAGCTAAAGAAAGAAATAATTTGTTGTATTTGTATTCACTGACGGTAATGTTTTATATCAATTTCCCAATGCTTGTTACAAGTGTTAAAAGGAAGAGAAATTTGGAATGCAAAAATGTAGGAAAGTAGAAGAATATGACAATAGTTAACTGAAGGTAGATGAAATACATTTTAACATTTCAATCGTTGACAAATATTTTATGTAGATATTTGTACTTGCAAAAGTCAAGTACTGTTACTTTCTGTGTTTTTTTTTCATGGAACTGATGATTTTATTAAAATATTAATTTATTACAAGTTCTCTAATTAAATGCTAAATTTTATACTTTGCATAGAACTTGTAATATTTTATAGTAATGAAATGTTTTAGGAAAATAGTAAATTCACGAACAGTGAACCACAATTACGTTGATAGAAGTCTTTCAATATTTTCTACTCCATCGCCTATCTCAAACATAAATATTTATCTTAAGAAGAATATTCATTCAACAAATAGCTTCTAGACTATTCACATGGTCCTCGAATAAGTTTTATTGGTTTAAAATAAAAAAATATGAGAGTGCGGTTGGAACCAGTGTTAAAACACATCACCTTGAAACTCTATTCTGAATATACCAGCGACTTCAGGTCCGCTGAGAGACAGCTTAAATTTCTTAAGATTTACACTCCCTTTCGCGCACCTTTCATCCACCTTTCACCTCGCCTGTGCACAGGGACCGCAAGCCACATTTCTATTTTGAAATTCTTTCCACGGCTTCACCAAGACGGTCTTGTATGATGCACGCAGAGATTACTCAACAACTTCCATTTTCTACTCGTCCAGATGTTATAATGACACGCATTATCTGTATTTGGAGAATAAACTTAATAAGGGAGAGACAGGCAGTTTTTGAGTTATATTATTCAATCGTATGAGATGTTATATCTTGAAAAGTAAGATGGTATATTCATATACTGATATACAGTTTACTTAATTCAGGCTACCATTATAAATTTACAAAAACAGACATTTTTTCAATGAACATTTTTTTTTAATATAATATTTTTAATATCCGGTGGATCGTATATGAGGAAGCTAAATTGTTAGGACCTTGAGACATGCATTTTGTTTCTGCTTTTGTACAGAATGCATCTAGATAATTGAATAAAGATTGTATAAAGTGATGTTTTAAACACTGTTAACCTGCCTTTCCCCCTTCCCTCGATCGTGTTGGCCCTCCCGTCATCCATCTGAATGGGCGTCAGGAAGAACAATGTGTTGGAAAACTCGCAACTGCTGTGCGGGTTCTTCTAGGAAGTCCTGTGCCACGAAGCGCGCTCCCTGCAGCGGTGGCGCTCGTCCGAGGCCAGCTTTTTCAGGAGACCTCACGACCGCGCGCTTTTCTCCGCCCTCCAGGCGCCCTCGGCCAGCGCTTTCCCGTTCCGCGGAGAGTCAACACAACTCGCGCGATTCGCTTTATCGCATTTCCAGGCGCGTTATTGGCGGACAGCGCGGGGGGGGGGGCTTCAACTTCTCCAGCGACGCAATCATCAAGTTTTGGAGCTGGAAGGAAACTCTTTCGCCCCTCGAAACACTGCAACATTTGTCCGCGGGGGCGGGGGTGGGGGCGGAGAGCGGAGAGGCCGTGGAGGACCGGGCGTTGTCGCGTCGCGGGGAGCTCGAGAGGTGGGCGGCTGGAGTGGAGTTGGAGTGAAGTGGAGACGAGGAGAGAGGAGGCGCCGCGAGACTGTGCAGCATAAGTCGCAATGCCGAGGGGCGAATGGGACTTGTGATACAATTCAAAAGTTGAGATATAGAACAGGCTGGCATTACGCATTGTAGTAGATTTTACAACTAACGCTAGTGATTTATTTGCTTTAACTTAAACCACCTTCGCGATTGTTTCTTAACAACGTTATCATACACGGCTCGTACGCTGTAAGCCTACAATACGGAGAAGAGTAACAAAGTTCTCGCGGGAAGAGATAAGAACGTTTTATGGCAGTTGGGTCTTTCATTAAATATAATAGTTGCCAGTCGGATGATACTCTGAAGCCCTATTCGTGTCTCGTATATGAAGCCTTTGTGTCATCGCGAAAAATTCTCCTATTTTGTTTTCGTGGTGCAGCTTAAGAACTACCAATTTTTTCTGCAAATGCAACCGATGAAACGCAACAATTCAACAAAAAATGAACACCTCTATACACGTTGCGTTGTTACAATATGTCTGAATAATAAATTGGTTGTATTATCTTTGTCTTTGTGAGTGTAATTCAGTATTTTCTCTTCTTGGGTACTGAATGACTGAATTCTTAGTACTAGATGATAGGAATAAAGTAAAATATTTAATTGATTACGGGAGAATGAAGTCACATTTGTTGGAGAGTACTGAGTTCGCTGTTGTAGAGGAAGATAAGATAGAAAGATAACTGGTGAAATGCGTGAGTAAAATGACTGATAAATTAAGGTTCATGGTTTCCTAAAACATTGGAAGTGATTATTAATTAGGTACGAAGTAACGACAAGAGGGCCATTATAAAAACGGTGTGCCTTACTCGTATGGTTGGGGTCAATGAAGCAGTGGGATGAGATCGGATTGAGGGGGTGGCGCAGGCGCCTGCGAAACCGCCCGCGGCGTTACCTGTTGTACATGAGGATGTCTGGGCGCCAGATCTTGTTGGGCGTGATGCGGAGGTCCTTCACTCCGCCGAACTCCGTCTCGTTCCACCGCAGGTTGTAGTCGACCCACTCCTGCAGGCAGAAGACGGCTGCAGATCGCGGCGCGGGCCATCGCCCGCCTCCCACATGCATTACACTGAGTTAGCCTTTTTACCCCGCGAACAGGGCAGCAGCTGGGCCTGGCCCGAGCTTGTTAGACGCACAGAGTTAGTTCTATGTACACTTTCAATTTACATGAAACTTTGTTTGAGCTATGAAACAAGATTATCTACATTGCTTTGCTATGTTATTTCTATTCTAAAGATATATGAAACTACTGCTAATCACAGGCTACACAGAAGGCTCCAAGAATGATGGGAGACAGAACAAGCAAAAGTGGAGATTAGGCGAGTTGAGGACGAGAAGACGCAGTACTATGACAAGCATTCATTACAAAGCGGGTAAAACGCAACTTGTGAAACAGATATTGGGAGAATTGGGTATTTAATATTATATAAATGAAGTTATAAAAGTTTTAATTTTTCAAAGTCATAAATTATATAATTTAAATGAGTCATTTATAGGTTTGAGATATTTTATAATTTAATGTAAGAAAAAATACGTATTAAAATATCTAAAATTATTTATCAAAGCACAAGTTCCGTTTATTGTGCATGCATTTCCCACTGCAGTGTCTCCTCGAACCAACATCGCCGCTGTCGTTATCGAGTGCGCATGCCAGACCAAGAGAAGTGGAAACGAGCCAGCGAGAGCGGGAGAGCGGGGCAGACAGCGCGGGGAGGCAGAGCCATGCAGCGTGGTTTGTCGGGGGCGGGCGGGGAGGAGCGGGGGGGGCGTGGGACGGGTGCGGGAGTAGCCACGACACCGGAGGCAGTCGGAGCGTGCGGGCGCGGACGCGGGGGCGGGATCAGCCGGCTTCTCTCCGGCGGTTTAGTGTTGGTTTAGCTTGCCAATTATTTAGACAGTGGGTTTAAAAGCCAGATTGCGTGTATTATTATGGCGTTTAGCGTGCCTGGAGCCGACGCGCCGGCGTGTGTTGGCGTGGCGCGCCAGAGTACGGTAGGCGGCGGGCCCGCCAGTTGTTCGTGGTGTGCGCGCGGCCCGCGGTGCTGATTTGTGCTTGGCGTGCCGCGGAAAACAATACTTGTTTACCAGCGTTCCGTTTTTGGTTTGTTTGGTTTTTGTTTATGTGAACCGCTTTCTCCTCTTCCGACTGAGGAGGGCTCAAAAAGTGTAGTTCAGTTGTCGATAAGGTGGCGTTCAGGCCGTGATGGTGGGTGATATCTGGTTTTGTAGTGTAAAGAGTTTAGACGTGAGAGGTTTTGAATGACGTGTTTAGGAGAGCAGAGTTTTTTAGAGACTGGCACACACACGGCAGTTCCGCGAGCCTCCCGGCAGCGGCGCAGAGCGACGCACCGCGGCAGCAGCTGCAACGTGAAGAGGGTCGGGCGCTTTGAAGGCGTTTCTCTAGCTCGGGCGGTTTTCGTGAGCTTGTTCTTGTTATTTATAGGCTCAATTTCTGCGAGAAAGAATCAATGTTTTTTTCACTCTGCAAATTTTTTCAACGTCTTTTCCTTTGGGAATCTATTATCTCTAGGGTTTACAAGAGCGCGGACCGAAAGTTATTGATGCCATTAAACAATGTAGCCCGAATTTGTCAGCGATTAGTTTCTTCCTTGCCTTTTGCTTCATCCCGCCGGCTTTGTGAAAGTTAAGTGGAAGACCGGAGTTATAGGTTTGCGCAGGTATCAGTCTGACGGGTTTTTTGGGTTTCTGTATCGTCCGACGTCATTTGTGGAGACAAAGGACCGGGATCGTTGTCGAGAGGTTGCAGGTCATAGATCACGCCCTTCGACAACAAACAGCCATTTCGCCAGTTAGAATACTTTAAGTAGCTTGTATATAATGAACTTGGAACAATTATTCAGCAGATCTTATTACCAGAATTATTAGAATTCATTCCGCGAGAAAGATAATTCTGAAGGAGTTTATTATTGAATAGTATTTAATTAATCTACAAAATTCCGATAAAAGTAGTTTTGTAAATGTTAAAGTTAGTTTTATGCAAGTCTTAGGAAGGTGTATCATTTTTGTCCATAGTTGAAGTCTTGCGGAATATAAATAATGATACAGACGGAGATCGTATGACATCAGTTGGAAATTAATTTATAGAATCCTGAATTTGTAAATAGTAGTTGCTCGAGGAATTCTGTAGGGGAATTAGGGGAAAAAAATTGTTCTACTGAGAGACCAGGTATGTGGACCCTATTGACACTGGAGATCGTAATAAAAGTCAAAATGTATGTTATTACAGGAACGCATTAAGAAACTGCGCCTAAAATGCCTAGATTTTTAAACTTTTTAAAAAGTATTTCTTTATCAAATGTCCAATTTTCTTACTCAAATAAATGTTTGTAACTATGGATATTGGCTACTAAGGCTATTCTAGATCATAAAATATCCTTGGTGAACTGAAATGAGATCACTTCTAATACACGGGTGTGCAGACATGATCCTTTAGTTAGAAAAACCCGCCAAATGAACGTATCACTGATCACACTGTAGTATTACATCGTCCGACCTCAGTACACCTTTTACCTCCTTTCCACCGCTTTGCGCGTCGCACGTTGCTCCAAATATCCCAACACGCCGCCGCGCCTTTCAGCGTGAAATCTTCCACTTGGCCAGAAAATTCGAGTGCGTGCGCTACTCTGTGACTTTCAGCGTTTACGGCGCGCGGCACAGCAAAGAGGCGGCGCGCCCGGCGGATCGGCATGGGGTGGGTGGCGGGCGGAAGTTGCATCGCGCGAAAGTGCACATAGCCCGTTCCGCGGGCCCGCGCCGCAGCGCCACCTGCTCTGTCACCGTCGCAGCACCGGAAATCAAGCAGCGGCGGCGAATCAATAATTAATATTCTCGGGGAGCGCAGGCGTACGAAGTGAGCGCTTCGGAAATGAAGCACCGGGCGGGCGGTGTGGTCGGGCGATCGCTCCGGTCCAGGAGCGGCGGGATCAACGATCGTTTCACCCTAGCGGACGATCGGCGAGTAGGTCTGTCGTATTATATACGGTCGGGGGGCGATATGAATTCCGAAGGTTCGTTTGGTCTGTCGAATCGGACTGGGTGGCGATCCGGTCGCGCATCTGTGACGCAGGTTCGTTGATCGTTTTCGATCGATCGGTCGGGACGGTTGGGGCAGAACGGACGACGGACAGACGGGCTGTCGGGCACGCTCGGGCCCGGATGCATGGGTCTCTCGATACGACTGCCAACACTGGCCACTGAAGAAGAATGAAAAGGTCTGCTAATGAGGAAGTTATATAAAAAGAGAATAATATAAGATAATATTAAAAAATCGATTGCTCTGCCGTGTGTGTTTTATCCAACAACAGTTAGCACTTTACCAATGGAAAGCCAATATTTGTTATAGGAGTTGATTTCTTCTCGTCCTATACGCAAGACACAACAGAAGGGGAAACAATTGGCCGCGTTTAGTCTCAGTGGATCGTCGGCATTGCAGGCGGCGGGGCGGGCGGCTGCCGCGGCGGCGCGCCGGCGCCTGGGGGCGGCTGGGGGCGGCGGCCGGCGGCGGGCGCTCCTGCCCCGCACCCGCTTCCTCGCAGGCGGCGCGAGTGCCCGAGGTGCCTGGCGGCCTGGGCCCTCAGTTAAGAATGGAACATTTTTTTATGCTTAAACTTGTACACATAATCACAAAGTACAATAGCATAAACGTGCCACTGTGTTCTTGCTTACTAGTAAAAGAATCGAATAAAGGATATTGTGGAGCCATGTATATTTTTGGAATGTTTTTGAATGATGGACAGGCAGACTGCCTCGGCCACTCGCATTGGCAGCGGCCTCGCAGGGCGTGCGGAGACGGAGCCGCTCCGCCTCCTCCTAATCCTCCTCAGCGCCGGGCGGGCGCGCGCGCTCGCGTCGCGCCCGCGCGGTGGCGCGAGCGCGCCGCCGGCCCCGCCGCGCCCGCCGCCGCAACAGGTTGGGGCGGGGCGGGGGGGATGCGTCGCCGATCAATTTTTATCCAACGCGCTCCGATGCGCGAGACGGACGAGCGGGGGACGGCGAGGGGCGAGAGGAGGGGGCGGCGGCGGCGGGCGGCGGCGCGCGCCCGCCTGGGTCCAGCACATAGCTCCGTGGACGGCCGATGGGTCTCTTCCGGCTCTTGCGCTTCACTTACAAATTCAACCAAGCGGTTTGTTTCAAGAATTTGTTCTTTTCGTCCTGTAGGCAGTGGGAGAGCAAACAACACCAAAGTCATTGCGCGCGCCCGCGCAGGGCGGGCGCGCCCAAGGCCGCGAACCGCGCTGCCGCCGCGCCCGCGCCGCGACTTCCGCGCCGGCCGGGGACCCCGCTGCCCGGGACTGCGATCCCAGGGAAGTTGGAGTTCTCGGAAATGACCGCGGCGGGCTTTTAAAAAAAAGGGAATCTGGAACCGCGCGTGCCTGCGAGAGCCAGGATAAACTCGCCCACGAGGCTCTTTTATTGCCCTGGCAGGTTTCCACGAAACCAGCTGAGATTTCTCGCTTGAACCTCCTGATTCATGGTTGTCCTTTAGCGCCCCGTTCCCCCACGTCACGCTGGCCGCAACCACCGGCCGCCCCCGCCGCCCACCGCCCGCGCTTCTCCTTGAAGTTCCCTTTTCACAGCATCCCGCCAAGCGACATGCTCGTTGTTTCTCTTCCCGCCAAGATGCGCCCACCGGCTCCGCGGACGTTAGTAACTTTTATGTTTTTAGTTGTCGGGATAACTGGCAGGTGTATTTTTCTTTTTTTTCCGCTTGTCATACCATAAACGATCGTGTTTGTTGTTTCATTCAATTAACAAGACATCGTTATTTTAATTTATTTTTTGTGTTCCTGCCCTTTGTGGTAACACGTACATTGTTCGAGCCATGGATTATGTTTCATTTGGGAAGGCTTTGCGGAGCGACTAGCGCTCGAAAGTCGTTGTGAAGTGCAGTTGTGTTTTTGTTGACGGCGTAGCAGGCGGGGTCGCAGCTGTCCTTGCACAATTAATCTTCCTCTGTCCTGCTCTAAATCCGCTGTGACAGTTGT